CCTGCCAGCCCTGGTGTATGTAGCCAGTGCCCTAACCACTTGGCTATGGGCACTAAGCTAAGAACTTTTCCTTTTGCAGTCACAACATGGCTAATTATTTGATGCAAAAGGCCTAGTTTTGGCCTATCTAGGCTTTCAGCACACTAAGCTGAAGGCCTATCTAGACCTTCCTCACTAAGCTTTTTTTCTTTTAAGGCAGAGTCTCACTATGTCCCCCTCAGTAGAGTGCCGTGGCATCACAGTTCACAGCAACCTCAGTCTTGGGCTTAAGCAATTCTCTTGCTTCAGCCTCTCAAACAGCTGGGACTACAGGTGCCCACCACAATGCCCAGCTATTTTTTTGTTACAGTTGTCATTGTTGTTTAGCAGGCCTGGGCTGGATTCAAACCCATCAGCCTCGGTGTATGTGGCTGGTGCCATAACCAGTGTGCTATGGGTGCTGACCCAATAAAGTTTTGTTTTTGTTTTTGTTTTTTTTGAGACAGAGTTTCAAACTGTTACCCTGGGTAGAGTGCCATGGCATCATACTCACAGCAACCTCCAACTCGGGCTCAAGCAATCCTCTTGCCTCAGTTTTTCTATTTTTAGTAGAGACAGGGTCTTGCTTTTGCTCAAGCTGGTCTTAAACTCATGAGCTCAAGCTATTCACCCACCTCAGCCTCCCAGAGTATTAGGATTACAGGGGTGAGCCACTGCACCCCACGGCCCTTACTAAGTTTAATCATTTCTAGCATGTGACTCTTCCTTTAGTTGGCCTAATTTCAATATTGTTGTGTCTTAGGAAAAGGGAGTCCCAAGGAGAGGGAAAGAGATGAGGGAATGGCTGGTTGGGTGGAGCAGTCAGAACATATGCATTTATTTATTTAAGTTTGTGGTCTTATGGAAAGGAACAGATCAGAACACTCAAGATCAAAGTGTAACAGAGGCAGCAATGTTTGACATTTGGGTGTGGGGTTTAGGGAGGGAGGCTGTGGGGGAATAAGCTGGTTTCTATCAAAGACCACCAAACTGTCATTATCATCAGGATGTCAAAGATGTTATCTTATTATCGGGAGACTTTCTTAGTGGGCTCTTCTTAATAGAGTGTCAGAGGTTTGAGTGTCAGCATATTTCTCACTGGCGGGTCTGTAATTGCACAAGGACTTGACAAGTATGTCCCTCTTATCTGAGTTATGTATGCCTGTAACAGAGTTTCACAGAATGGCTTTTCAGTTCAAGACGGGGTTAGTTTGGCCAACCTAATAGGTACAGTTCTTGAAGCCTCAAAACTATTACAGTAGTCACATCAAATATCACTGATCACAGATCAGTGTAACAGATGTAATAATCATGAAAAAGTTTGAAATACTGCAAGAATTACCAGAATGTGGTGACAGAGACATAAAGTGGCATATACTGTTGGGAAAGTGATACTGATAAACTTGCTCAAGGTAGGGCGGCCACAAACCTACAGTTTGGAAAAAGGACAAAAGCAAAACACAGTATCTTTGAAGTACAAAAGAACACATCACAATAATACGAGATATGTCTGTATGTGAAATTTTAAATACGTTAAGCATTTACATGGATTGTCTAATTTAATCACAATAGCCCAGTGAGGTAGTTACACAGTTAGTAGTGGAGCCTGGGAATTATAGCCAGTGTAGAGGTATCCTGAGGACACTAGTCCACTTGTGTTGCTATAAAGGAAAACCTGGGGCTCAGTAATTTATGAAGAAAAGTGGTTTATTTTGGCTGGTAGTTGTGCTGGCAGTAGAGGAAGCATGGTTCCAGCATTTACTTCTGGTGAGGGCCTCAGGCTGCTTCCACACACAGCAGGGTAGGAGGAGCTGGTGTGTGCAGCTGGAAAGACAAGAGAGCAGCAGAGAGAGAGGAGGGAGGGGCTCTTTTTAACAAGTTCTCAGGTAACTCTTTCAGGAACTAATGGAGCAGGGACTCATTACCCAAGAGGGCAGCACCAAGCCTCAAGACCCAAACACCTCCCTCTAGGCCTACCTCCAACAATGGGGATCTAATTTCAACATGAGATTTGGAGAGAACAATGTCTAAATTACAGCACTGCCCTTTACATCACTTCATGTTTCTTAGTATATGACTATCTTTTTTCCTTTTTTTTTTTTTTAAACAGTCTTGCTCTAATCATCCAAGCAAGTACCTGGCCTCAGCTAAGCTTACAACCTCAAACTTCTGATGTTTAAGTGATCCTTCTCCCTCAGCCTCCCAAATAGCTGGGCTACACTTGCCACAATGCCCAGATAATTTTTTATTTTTAGTAGAGATGGGGTCTTGGTCTTGCTCATGCTCAGGCTGGTTGAACGTCTGAGCTCCCACCTCCTGCCTTGGCCTTCCAGAGTGCTAAGATTATAGGCGTGAGCCACCGTGCCTGGCCCTTTTTAAATTTTTTTCTTGAGCTATAGGTTCTTACTCTGTCACCCAGGCTGACATACAGTGGCATCATTATAGCTCACTGTAGCCTTGAAGTCCTGAGCTCAAGCTATTCTCCTGCCTAAGCCTCCTGAATAGCTGAGAATACAGGCACATAATACCACAACCGGCTTGGGAGAAACTGATTTCTAAGTTTTCCTTTTGATTTTATGATTGGTGTAAATTCTGCATAACTTTACATAAACCACTAAAAAATCCATGACTGAATGAGAAGCCTAATTAAGGCAAGCGTGTAAGGCTTCATAATAAGGACTATTCCATGAGCCTCGTTTCTGGCTTAATTTTATGAATATCTTTTCTCTTTCTCCCTTCTAAAGAATATTGTTTTATCATACTTTACATAGCTTTTGTAACAATCTGAAATTCTTTTTGAAACAAAAGTCTTAGAGAAAGTGGCCACATATGGCCAACTCTTAGGGGGAAGTGACCAAATATCTTTAGTCAGTGTAGGGCATGTCTAGGCTGCTTTATCAGTGAGAAATTGAGGGCTAGAGCTGCTCTTCCCTAGTGTTTCACTAGGTGGAGATGTTTGGTCATCATCCTCATGCACAGCTTCTTAGTCTACTTTTCGGCCCTCCCTTCTCTTACCCTCTCAATTGCTTTCCTTATAACTTCTTCCTGTGATTTCCCATCCCAAGAGCATTTCTAAAGCAACAAATCCACTTGGTAGGGAGTTTAAAACAGAGACTCCCAGAATTCAGATCCTATAAAATTAGACTACATGGTAAATGACTACACTCAATACAGTGGATTTTTTCTTTTTAGTTTTGTCTTACTAGTTGTTTTTAGATAGGGTCTCACTCTGTCACCTAGGCTAGAGTACAGTGGCACAATCACAACTCTGCGCAACCTGATACTTCTGGGCTCAAACAATCCTCCTGCCTTAGCCCCCTGAGAAGCTGGGACTATAGGCACACACCACCATACCCAACAATTAAATTACCTCTAAGGAATCTTTCTTTTCATTAGTTAAGATCTAAAGGGCATTTGTTTGCATAGACTCAAATTGGTGAAAGATTTTGTATGTGTCTAGAAAATTGTGACAATGTGCCCTAAAGTCTCAGAAAAATTTTCTTGCGCTCAGGGAAGACCCTCTACTCTGGTCTCTTCTGACTCTAGATAGTGCCCAGTACATTGCAGTGGGTTGAGGCAGATGGGTCCTGTTCCTACCCTGTAAGAAGGTAGTAGGACCAGATGGTGCGGAAGGAAGTCTGATTTAGCAATCATAACATGACAGCCAACGATGAAGGCCACGGCCCACAGCTATAATAGTCCTGAAAATCTTGGCATCAAGGTGTTCCTCTAGGCAGGTAAGTACCATACAGTGACCAGGAATCCAGACAGGTGGTAAACATAAAGGAAGCACAGTGACAGGTAGAATGCTCCCAATCTTCAGACTAGGGTTCAGGGTTAAGTCCTGAGTAAATGTTCAGGAAATGTGTACTGGCAAGAATAAGGCTCAGTTGGGTGGTGCCTGAGGCTCAGTGAATAGGGCATCGGCCCCACATGTCGAGGGTGGTGGGTTCGAAACTGGCTTCGGCCAAACTGCACCCACCCTCCCAAAAAAGGAAAAGAATAAGGCAGAGTCCATTGCTTAAGGGACTGGAGTGAATCAGTGCCCAAGGCTCAGACCTGGCCAGTCAGGGCCCAAAGGGGACATGGGGCTCCAGAGCAATACAGAAACTCAATTCTCAGAAATGGGACACATGGCTGAAGCTAGGCCAGCACTTGATAGGTGGGCAAGCACTTCTTCCAGTTTTCTTGCTTAAGGTTAAGATTGGTCCTAAAGATGATCAAGATAAGTTCTAGGGAAAGAAGGATGAACCTTGCAAAGGGTGAGAGTCCAGTAGAATATGACAAGGAAGCTGAGCTGGTTGGTTCTTGGCGCTCTGGAAAATCCAACACAGGTTGTATGAATAGGATTTTTATTAATGGGATCTGTGGTCTGTAGCTACAATGTTATATTTTGCTGTGCTTGACAGATTTTTTACCATTGAGATGTTTATGGAAGAAAGCTTGAATTTGTTGCCAGGCATCCACCTGTGCCCTTGAGTGAGCTCTTGGCTCACCTCCACAGTATACTGGTTTGTTGAGCACTGAGTGCACAGAGGCTAAAGAAGGAGGAAAATAAGGTGGGTCGATACAATGACCCGTTTCTGGGTAGCAGATTATCTGGGGTCTGTCTTTCCCATGGGCTTGTAATCTTTCAGAGGCTATATGAGCATAGAGTTCACTCTTCCAGTTATGATCATCTGTGCCAACGATAAATAGGAAGGGACCCTGGGCCTTTTCCAATGGAATAAGACTTAGTTGATCAGGTTCCTCCAGTGGATTGTTCTAAACATTCAAAAATGTGAAATATCCTGACTCAGTGATTTTTAGTTTTCCTAGGTCATTGCCAAGATTAGGAATCATCATATCCTTGTAATACAGAGGAGCTACTGTGTTAGCCACACAGGCATTGATAAGTACAGTGGCTGTGATGCCCTTCAAGAAGGAAGCCATTGAGAGACACAGGTCACCTCCTTTGGAGAAACCAAGAAGCCCAACACTAGGGCCCTTCACCTGATGAAGAAAGAAAACGAGCTAGAATTCATAAATGGAGGACATAAACAATGATTTTACATTCTCTAAGTAGCTCTCTTAAATATCATTTGCTTTCCCTCCTCATGTATCTACAAAGGTAAAAACATAGCTTTTTTTCCTTTTTTCTTACTTTCTTTTTTCTTTCTTTCTTTTTTTTTGAGACAGAGTCCTATTCTATTACCTGGGCTAGAATGTTGTTGCATCGGCCTAACTCACAGCAAACTCAAACTCCTGGGCACAAGTGATCCTCCTGCCTCAGCCTCCTGAGTAGCTGGGACTACAGGTGCCTGCCACAATGACCAGCTAATTTCGTCTACTTTTAGTAGAGACGGGTCTCATTGTTGTTCTAGCTGGTCTCAAACTCTTGAGCTCAACTGATCCTCCCACCTCAGCTTCCCAGAATGCTAGGATACACACATGAGCCATTGTGCCTGGCCTAAAATTATCTTCTTATAAGCAAATCAATTGATTTCCTAGTATACAGTTCATATCCTAATATTTATGAATCTACCCAATCAAGAGTACACACAGAGGCCTACATATCCTAAACTAAATATTTAAAAGTTATACATCAAATGAAATGTTAAATAAAACATAGTCTTGACTTGGCAGCTGTGGCTCAAGTGGCTAAGGCGCCAGCCACATACACCTAAG